TGTAGGATCTGACAATGGGTCCAAGGATTTCATCCCGATACCTAATGGCAGTCAGGGTGCCATTGTCTAGCCTGTAGAGGTCTGTGTGTCCCTCCATAGATATGCCTCCCCAGACCATCACTGACCCACCACCAATATGGTCATGCTGAACGATGTTACAGGCAGCATAACGTTCTCCATGGCTTCTCCAGACCCTTTCACATCTGTCACATGTGCTCAGGGTGATCCTGCTCTTATCTGTGAAAAGCACAAGGCACCAGTGGTGGACTTGCCAATTCTTTGGTGCCGGGTAGTGCGCACAGTGCCCACTAGACGACGTCGGACCCTCAGGCCACCCTCATGACGTCTGTTTCTGATTGGTCAGAGACATTCACACCAGTGGCCTGCTGGAGGTCATTTTGTAGGGCTCTGGCAGTGCTAACCCTGTTCCTCCTTGCACAAAGGAGCAGATACCGGTCCTGCTGATGGGTTAAGGACCTTCTACACACAGCCCTGTCCAGCTCTTCTAGAGTAACTGTCTGTCTCCTGGAATCTCCTCCATGCTCTTGAGACTGTGCTGGGAGACACAGCAAACCTTCTGGCAATGGCACATATTGATGTGCCATCCTGGAGGAGTTAGACTGCCTGTGCAACCTCTGTAAGGTCCAGGTATCGCCTCATACTACCAGTAGTGACACTGACCCTAGCCAAATGCAAAACTAGTGAAAAACAGAAAAGATGAGTTGGGGAAAAAAATGTCAGTGGCCTCCACCTGTAAGACCATTCCTGTTTTGAGGGTCATCTCATTGTTGCCCATCTAGTGCACCTGTTGTTAATTTCATTAACACCAAAGCAGCTGAAACTGATTACCAACCCCCTCTGCTAATTACCTAACCAGATCAATATCCCGGGAGTTTCACTGACTTGATGCTAGACTCTGATTAAAAAGTGTTCCTTTAATTGTTTTTGAGCCGTGTATAAGTGTAACACTTATACACGGCTCAAAAACAAGTATTGATTACCACTAACAAAGGTCACAGCGCCCCCAATTACAAAGCCTTTATCTGCCTTTCTCTCCAGTTGGACACATCATCCAGGATCACCATCTACTTCGTGAACTCTGATACTCATGCAGAGATGATGCCATCATGTCAGTCCTGGTGCCTGTGTAGTTTGTTCACAAATGCCTGACCATCCCCTCCTCACCCACCAGCTCTGCTGTGATTGTACACAGTGGAACGTAGCTGTGTCCAATCACAGCCCAGAGCCGGTACAGAGGGAACGATCTCTGTGCTTCTTTTGCCTGCAAAGCAGGGAGAAGAAACAAAGCGATCTTTACTAAAAAGCAGCACACATCACACATCACACACATCACATAGTGTTAGGTACGCACTTAACCCCTTTATTACCCCGAGATGTTAACCCCTTCCCAGCCAGTGTGATTAGTACAGTGACGGTGTACAGTATTAGCACTGATCACTGTATTAGTGTCACTGGTGGTGTCAGTGTCAGATTGCCTGCTGCACTTTAACAGTCCCACTATAATTCACTGATAACCGCCATTAATAGTATACAAAAAAAAAAATTACAAATTTCATTATTTACCATCGTTTGTAGACGCTATACCAGTTAATATATGCTTACTGTTTTTTGGGTTTTTTTACCAAAGACTAAATTTATGAAGAAATTAATTTTTTTTCCAATTGGATATGTTTTATAGCAGAAAGTATAAAATAGTGTTTACTTTTCAACATTTTAGTCTATTTTCATTTATATAATAAAGAAATAAATTTAATATGGGTACAGTGTTGCATGACTGCGCAATTGCCAGTTAAAGTAGCTCAGTGTTAAATAGTAAAAATGGTCCGGTCATGAAGGGGGTAAAATCTTCCGCAGCCTAAGTGGTTATGCAAACTTGAAAACTTGGCAGACAAGGTAACTGTTAGTCCTCATGCACATTGGCCGTTAACAACATGCTGGTAGAGTTAGCCGTATAAAGTCACAAAAATGAATTTTTCCGAATTTTTTAGTATTTTTACATTAGCGTTGAACTGCGTTTTTCTGTGTTTGCGTTTTTTATACACAAAAAAAAAGTTTGCTCAAGAAAATGCCCAAAAATGCCAGTTTGTCGCGTTTTACCAGCACTGGAGCATTTTTACAGCAAAAAAAAACTCCTCTAGACACTTTAGGGTCGATGTCAATAGATGTCTGTTCTCTGCAAAGCTGCTCCTCTTCCCATACAGAACAATGGGAATGCAAAAGCAGCTTGAAGCAGGTCAAATGCAAGCAGGGGCGGACCGACAACTTATGGGGTCCCCGAGCAATAGGGTCTCATGGGGCCCCTTATTGACCCCGGGCCCTTGGGCAGTGTCCGAGTTTCCGAATGGTCAGTCCGCCCCTGAATGCAAGTCAGAAGGTCAACTGCAAGTCAAAATTCCCTGTCAGTGATTTCTGGATGTCTAAAAACTGGTCTGATATGAAAACAGAATGCACTGGAAGGTACACTGCAATTACTTGTAAAACAAGCCCAAAACTCGTTGACATTGTCCCCTATTGTATAGACCTTTTTTTTTTCCCCCCAATTTTGGGGAAATACATCACATTAAAGTGGAGCTCCACCCAAAAGGGGAAGTTCCGCTTTAAGTCTTTGTCCCCCCCCGCTCCCCATTAAGGATTGGCACCTTTGGGGAGTGGGTACCTGAATTTGACAGGTACACTGCGATCCCACTTCCACTGCGATCGCCTTAGGCGATCGGAGCAGAAGTTGTCCTCCCCTCCCCGTAGTATTGTGGGACACATGACAGGTCCTAGAAGACTACGGGACCATTCACAAAGTGCAGCGCTTCTCGCACATGCGCAGTGGGCACCCGACTGTGAAGCCGCAAGATGTCACAGCCGGGTGCCCACACTGCAGATGCCGGCACCAGGGAGAGAAGACGGCTTGTGAAACCAGCGATGGTGAGGACACCACTGGACCAAGGGACAGGTAAGTGGCTGTATTTTAAAAGTCAGCAGCTACAATTTTTGTAGCTGCTGACTTTTATTTATTTTTTTTTTCACCTGGAACTCCGCTTTAACTGAACTTGCTATGTGCAGTTTTTGATGGATTACTCTTTTTTTTTCATAAATCATTTTGTTATTACATTGAGACTAATCAGGTGGTGATAATGAAGACAGATCCCCCCCACTTAGCAGGCAGTTTGATAAAAGTGCTGGAAAACACCTACATCAGGATCTCAAGTATTAGGCTCCGTTCACACCAATGTGTTTTTTTAGTTCTTTTAGCAGAAATCCATTTAACACAGTTTCCTATGGAACATGTTCACATCTATGCTTTTTGGAGCTGCTGCGTTTTTGGGAAGGGTCAGGGACTTTTTAAAAAGCAAAATTCTGCGTTTTTGCTACAATAGAGTTCAATGGAGAAGCTGCTGAAATGCATGGTAGTGAGTTTTTGCTGCATTTTTGTTGCGCTTTGCATTTCTATTCTGCTCAGCAAAAAAAAAAAAAAAAAAGCCCAACAAAACGCAAAATGCGGTAAAAACACTGTAGAAAAACTGCAAAAAGCAAAAAGCACTGAGAAAGCATCAAACACAAAATGTATATATGTGAACCAAGCCTAAAGACAAGAAAATCATCGCCGTCTCCCCCAGCAGAGATTTGTACCGTACCTTCTCATGCTCCTCTCTCATCGCTCTCCAAGACGTCCAACTCACTCACCTAAATAGAGCTACTTTGGGGATTTTCTTCTCATTAGCGGTTCTGATTAAATCCCCAAAGGACCGTACATCTCTGTGTGAAGGCAATGCATAGAGGTATACTGTAGGGATAACTGCCATTCAAACAAGTATGAATATTTTATGTCAGTTTAAATCAAAGTATGAAACATAATCCACTAATTAGTAGGGATGAGCAAAACTTTTTAAAACTTTGTAATGTAAACAAAGTGCACCGGAGTCAGTATGGAAGGCAGCATTTCCATAGTTTAACCACTTGCCCTCCTGAGGATTTACCCCCCTTCCTGACCAGGCCACTTTTTGCTATTCGGCGCTGCACTATTTCAACTGGTAATTGCACGGTCATGCAATGCTGTACCCAAACAAAATTTATGTCCTTTTTTCCACACAAATAGAGCTTTCTTTTGGTGGTATTTGATCACCTGTGCGCTTTTTATTTTTCACGCTATAAACAAAGACCAAAAATTTTGAAGAAAAACAATATTTTTTACTTTCGGCTATAAAAAATATATAGTAAACTCAAAGTTGGTCATAAACCCATCAGTGCCAGCTTATCAGTGTAGCCTCAGTGCATTAGTTCACATCAGTGCAATCTCATCAATGCCCATTAGTGCAGCCTCATCAATTCACATCAGCACCCATCAGTGCACCCTCATCAGCATCCATTAGTGCAGCATCATCCACATCAGCGCACTCATCGTGCACCCATCAGTGCACCCCCATGAGCAGCCCAGCAGTGCAGCATCTTTAGCACCCAGCAGTGCAGCCTCATCAGCACCCAGCAGTGCAGCCTCATCAGCACCCACAGTGCAGCCTCATCAGCACCCAGCAGTGCAGCCTCATCAGCACCCAGCAGTGCAGCCCTCCTCCCTGCCCCCTCTGCACATCTTCCCAGGCTCCATGCCCTACAGGGACAAAGGCAATGCCCTGGGCGGTCCGGAGACCTGGGGGATGAGGCCCATTGCCATGCTAACCCGACAGGAAGTCTCGGCTACCATGGCAACAGCAAAGCACCCAGCTCTGTACTTAAGAGAGAGCAGTGCAACCCCCCTTGTGTTCTCAGGCTGCCTGTGTGGGAGAAGACTGTGCCAGCTTCTCTCGGATGACCATCCCCCGGCCCCCTTCTCCTCTCTCTCAGGCTGACCTGACTGTCCATGTTACCTGGAATCTCTTCACTGTGGAGGAATCTTCTGCTGTCCCCCATGAATCTGGCTGCGACTTAATTCTTTGGTTCTCCATGAATTTGACCTGGACTTAACCCCTTGCTCTCCGTGAATCTGCCTGGACCAGGGGGGACTGACCATTTTGAATTTCAGGCACTGCCCGAGGGCCCGGCGTCAGTAGGGGGGCCCCATGAGATGCCCCTGGTACCTTTTTTATAGGCTTTTTGAGTTTGGGCAAGGACACAGGGGCACCATGATCCCCTATGCCCGGGGGCCCCATGAGTTGTCAGTCCGCCCCTGGCCTAACCCCTTGCTCTCCTTGAACCTGTCTGGACTTAACCCTTCCCTTCCTGGAGCTGCCTGTTTGGATTAACCCTGTGGATTACCATCCCCCAGGTGTTTCATATTGACTTCCAGAGAACTTTACTGTGTTGCTGTGTCTGGTGTGGAGTGGACCAACAGAACTATTGTCTGTGCCCCAAAAACCTCCCCAATAAACGCCCGCACATCGGGTTCCGTGAAATTTGTCTCTGTGATCTCTGGTTCTCGTGACAACTGGTTGGCAGCAGCGGGAAAAAGCACTCGAGATGGCAGATGATGGACCAGAGCTTCAAAGCACAAGAGGCAAGAGCCCTTGGGTCATCTGGTATGAGGAAGATTGTCTGTGCTATAAGGTCAGGTTCAGAGACCAGTCTGCTATAGCAGTAAAAGGCTTACCTGAAACCAGCAGGATAGGTACACCAGCGGATCCCCCCCTGGGAATGACGCAGGCTCACCTGAGGTGCGGGGTCTAAGTATTAACCGGTATTCACCAGAGCTCCTAAGGCTGAGTTTGGGCAAGACACATTGGGCCCCGTGATCCCCTATTGCCAGGTTGCCCCAGATCTCAGGATCACCCCTGGCCTGGGAATGAGCCCTGGGAACCAATAGCGGATCAACCTGTTAGGGACTTACCCAGAGTCAGTCACAAGCCAAGGGAGCTGTCCAAATGTGCAGATCAATCGTAGTACCATTAGGATGAGACAAAATCGTGGTCAGGAACAAGCCAAACTTTACTGTAGTTGCTGTGTCTGGTGTGGATCAGTGGCAGGAACAGTAGCGGGATTGTCTGTGCCACAATAAACCTCCCCAATAAATGCCCGGACATGGCTTTTATAAGGGTTCATGGCAATCTGTCAAGTGTGCTTCAAGGTTTCTCAAGACAATCAAGGTTGGCAGAAGCGTCAAGGGAGCACTCCAGATTCAGATAGCTCAGTGAGAAGAGAAATTCAAAGCAAAAGTGGCAAGAGCCAGGGTCATCTGGTATGAGGAAGAGATGGCCATTCCAGGGGAGGATGCCACCATAGAAAGAAAGCTGGCGGCCATTGAAAAGGCTCAAAAGAGACAAAAAGAGTGGGAAGCTGCAAAAAAACAAGCAGCTGCTCCTGTGGCTGTCCCTGTGGCACGAGAGGCCCAGAGAATATCCAGGAAGGACTTTAAGCCCTACCAAGAGCACACCAGAGATGTGGAAGGGTTCTTCCAGGACTTTGAATACCAGTGTGAACTACTGGAGGTCCCACCCACAGACCGGACTCGCCCTGTGGTGGGGCTGCTTGACGGAGGGGCTGCTGAGGCCTACCGAATGATGGACCCCCTCAAGAGACAAAATTATGAGGAGATAAAAAGGGCCATACTGGACTACTACGCGGTCTCATCGGAGTCATATCAGGCCCAGTTGCGGACTACCCCCCGCCTCCCCAGGCCTCCTTCAAAATGTTTGCACACAAATTGTCGGTAGCCTGCCGCCAGTGGCTGGAAGGAAAGAAGGCAACCTCCCCTGAGCAGATCATCCAGGCCATCCTGAAGGAACAGTTCCTTTTTAAGTGCCCCCCCCCCGAGCTCCGACAGTGGGTGCATGAGCGGAAACCTGCCACCCTGGAAGAAGCTGCAGCCTTAGCGGATTGAGGCTCTCCTCATTAACCCACAATGGAAGAAGCCTGCTGCTGAGGCACCCCAAGCAGCCAGGATGCCCAATCCTACGCCGGTGCCCTACACGCCTCCCCATTGCAGGATGCCCCCACAAACAGTGCCAGTGCTACAGCCCCTACTCCCACCCCGTTCAGCCACCTTGCAACGGGGCCCCAGGCCGGCCTTAGATAGGCAGTGTTTTGGCTGTGGACAGATTGGACACTACCAGGCCAGCTGCCACCGCCAAGAAACAGATTCTCGGGCCTAGCTTGTCCCGGCCAGTAAATTCTGTGGATCTGTACCAGGCTCCTGAGGACTTGTCACCACTCCCTTCAGACTGGGATCTCGCTTCCGCAGACAAGGGCACCCCCCAGGAGTCTTTGGCCTACAGCCGGTGGGGGCTCCTACCCAGAGCCTCCAAGGAAAACACTTGCAAGAGGTCACTGTGGATGGACAAAAGGCGGGGATTTCGAGACTCAGGGCCTTCCTCACCATTGTAGACCCCCGAGTGGTGCACCCTGACGCTGTGCAGCCTGGCCCTGGGATAGTGATTAAACTAGCAGGGGGCACCAAAACTGCTTCATTCCACATGCTACTGTCAATCTGGACTATGGCTTGGGGCCTAAACGCTGCAACGTGGGTGTAATTGGAGGACTGCCTGCAGATGTGCTACTTGGGAATGATGTAGGCGATGTTCAATGCCGCTTTGTGGGAGCTGTCACACGAAGTCAGGCCTGCCGGGAAACCGCTGAGAGGAAGGAGGCACCCCAGCATGTGGATGGACCTCCGCTGCCCGCGGTGAGTGACTCAACTTCCACTGCTGACAATACTGGGGTGACATGGGACCGGGACAAGTTTCAAGGGGACTTAGCCACCGACCCTACTTTGACAAGCTTCTGGATCCGAGTAGGGCTGACTGGTCCGGCAACCACCGAAAGAATAGTGCAGGAAAATGGGTTGCTGTACCGAGTGGTGGAGACCGACGCCGAAGGGGGGCCTCAGACCGTGGCCAAACAGCTGATAGTTCCCCAACAATTCCAGACCCAACTGCTACACCTTGCCCACAATATTCCCATGGCTGGGCATCAGGGAAAGCTAAGGACCGAAAAGAGGTTGGCCCAGGCCTTCTATTGGCCTGGGATGTCCCAATCGGTAGCTCGCTACTGCCGTACCTGCTATACCTGTCAGCGACATGGAAGAACGGGTGGCCTGCGGGTCCCTCTACAGCCCCTACCTATCATTGAGGAGCCGTTCCAACGAGTAGCTATTGACATTCTGGGTCCCTTAGCTCGCCCCAGCAAATCCGGAAAGCGGTACATCCTGACCATCGTGGACTATGCTACTCGCTATCCCGAAGCAGTCGCCCTGTCCAGCATCACAGCTCCCAAAGTTGCAGAAGCCATGGTTACCATCTTCACACGAGTGGGCTTCCCTGCTGAAATCCTGTCAGATCAGGGGACTCAGTTCATGTCAGGCCTTGTTCAGTCCCTCTGGCAGACCTGTGGAGTGCGGGCCATCAGGACAACCCCCTATCACCCCCAGACCAATGGACTGTGTGAACGCTTCAACGGGACCCTGAAGGCCATGCTACGGGCCTTTGTAGACCTAGAGCCAGACTGGGAACGATACCTGCCCCACCTCCTCTTTGCCTACCAGGAGGTGCCCCAGGAATCTACCGGATTTTCTCCCTTTGAACTGCTGTATGGGTGGAAAATCCGCGGTCCCCTGACCCTACTGAAGGAATACTGGGAGGGTCAACTACCAGATACCGGGGTCCCTGTGGTGCCCTATGTCTTGGAACTGCATGAAAAGATGGGACAACTAGCCGGCCTCGCAGCTGATCATCTCCAAGCCGCCCAAGGCCGGCAAAAGACATGGTATGACTGCAAGGCACGCACCCGGGAGTTTACTGAGAACCAACAGGTCCTCATGATTGTCCCAAATCCCCAGAACAAATTGCAAACCACATGGGAGGGACCCTTCCGTGTCATTAGGAAAGTGAATGACACAAACTATATTCTCAGACTAGATGATCGGGGGAGACGGCAGAAAACGGTGCATGTCAATATGATCAAGGAGTACCATGACCGAAACCCCCTTGTTATGGCCGTCTGTCCAATACCCTCCGAGGAGGAGGAAGAGAGCTGTACCGGACCTCCTGGAAGCAGCACGCCATCCAACTGATGTGCACCAGGTGCCCCTGAGTCTGCAGCTGAACCTAGGGCAACAGAGGGCCATGAATGCTGTCCTGGGCCAGCGCAGTTCTGCTTTTTCGGCCCGACCTGGAAAGACCACTATCACCACTCACCATGTGGAGACCCTGGGAACCCGGCCCCTCCAACAAGCCCCATATTGTGTCCCCGAAGCCGTTAAGAACACTATGAGACAGGAACTGAACGAAATGCTGGATCTGGGAATTATTCATCCCTCCCAGAGCCCTGGGCCTCTCCTGTTGTTCTTGTTCCCAAGAAAGACGGTAGCATTCGCTTTTTGTGTCAACAACCGACGCCTCAATGACCACACGGTTAGTGACGCCTACCCGATGCCCAGTATCGATGACCTGCTGGACCGGCTGGCTGGAGCCTGCTATGTCACTACTTGAGAAGGGCTACTGGCAAATCCCCTTATCTGCAGAGGGTCGGGAGCGCTCCGCTCCGCCTTCATCACCCACTTTGGCCTGTTTGAGTTTCTCAACATGCCTTTTGGCATAAAGAATGCTCCTGCCACCTTCCAGTGCACGGTGGACCAGCTGCTGCAGGGCTGTCATGACTTTGCCTGCGCCTACCTGGATGACATTGCCATCTTTAGCGAGACCTGGGAAGACCACCTCCAGCATGTAGGCTTTGTCCTGGATCGAATTGCAGGGCCAACCTTACCATTCGACCAGACAAGTGCCAGATGGGAATGTTGGAGGTGCAATTTTTAGGACACCGGGTGGGAGGGGGTGAAACTGCGCCCAGAACCGGCTAAAATAGAAGCCATTAGGGAATGGCCCACCCCCCAGACTAAGAAACAGGTTATGGTGTTTCTAGGCACTGCTAACTATTACCGCAAATTCGTTCCCCATTTCAGCACGATTGCAAAGCCCCTCACAGATTTCACCAAGAAGGTCATGCCTCGTATGGTAACCTGGACCCCGGCCTGCCAGACCGCATTTGATCGGCTGAAGGAGGCCCTTTCCCATGACCCCGTCCTAGCAGCACCCAACTACCAATGAAGGTTCCTTGTGCAGACGGACGCCTCTACTTATGGGCTGGGAACCGTCCTCAGCCAGGTAAATGAGGAGGGGGGAGGGAGCACCCTGTGGCCTTCCTTAGCAGAAATCTATTAGATCGGGAGTGGCCTATGCCACCATAGAGAAGGAGTTGCCTGACCATAGTGTTGACGTTGAAGAAACTTCAACCCTATTTTTATGGCCGGGAGAGTTCACCATTCGGACCATAACCCCCCTCAACTGGCTGAATCGGGTCTCCGGGGATAATGGCCACCTCTTACGATGGAGCCTGGCCTTACAACCCTACAATTTCACTATCCAATACCGACGGGGAAGCCATCACCACAATGCAGATGGGCTGCCCCGTCAGCAAGACCCCCAGTAAATGCAGTCCACAAGTGCCTCTACGGGAACCTGTTGAGGTTCCCTTGGCGGCACTTGTAGAATGGAGGGGGAGGGGTTGTCAAGGAGCTGGCCCTTCCCCCCCATCTTCTAGACTTGCTGCCTGCCACCCCCCACCCCTCAGCAGCCTCCTCACTCTTCTGTCCCGTCCATGTTGGGACTTCTAGGGACATCCCTGACATAGGCAGCCCCTCACCCCTCTGTTGCCTGCCGTCTGGCCCCCTGATGAGGGAATCCACAAACAGGCCCCCTCCTGTCACCCCCCTCCTCCCTGCCCCCTCTGCACATCTTCCCAGGCTCCATGCTCTATAGGGACAAGGCCGTGTTCCCTGGGCGGTCCGGAGACCTGGGGGATGGGGCCCATTGCCATGGTAACCCGACAGGAAGTCTCCGGCTACCACGGTAACAGCAAAGCACCCATCATTAAATATCTTGTTCTGCACTTGGGGGC